ACTTTCCTGATTTACCCCTCTTGTCCTTCTAGAATAGACATGTACAATTCTGGGCCTTTTGTTATTGGATACCAATAAGTCAACATTTGTATCATTACTCCCTCCTTCAAAAACAGTCTTGTCCTCAAGACTTGCATCAGGAAATTGATTACGAATGTTCACCGCATCTTCCCATGTAGCCTCATCCTTCGATTGACCTGCCCAATGAATCAACCATTGTTCCACCGGTTCCTGGGATGCATTAACAGAACGTCTTGCTAAAACTGCTGCTGGAGTTAACATATCAGCTGTACCCGACTCTAATTCTGGTGGCAAACTCTGTTCGACCGGCACCGAAACGGCTTTCTTGAGAAGAGACACGTGGAACACYGGATGAATTTTAGAGGTGGGAGGCAAATCCAGTTTATAAGCCACTGGACCCAATTTACCCACAATCTTAAAAGGTCCAAAAAACTTGGCTGAAAGTTTTGGGTAAATGCGACTTACAACAGAGGTTTGGCGATATGGTTTTAGCTTAACATACACCCATTCTCCAATGGAAAAGTTAACATCCTTTCGCTTTTTATCAGCCTGTTCTTTCATTGCCGACTGAGCCTGTAATAGGTGTTGCTTCAACTGCTTTAAGGCCTCATCACGATCTTGTAACTCTTGGGCAACCGTTTGAACCCGAACTTCGCCTGGAATAAAATGAATAACTGATGGAGGTTTCCGCCCATACACAATTTCAAACGGTGTTATTCCGGTAGAACCATGAAACGTCGAGTTATACCAAAATTCAGCCCAAGGAATCCACACCGACCAATTACGAGGCTGATCCGTGGCAAAACAACGTAAATACGTTTCCAAACATCGATTAATTACCTCCGTTTGGCYATCCGTCTCCGGATGGTAAGCCGRACTCATATGTAGCTCTGTGCCATGAGCTCGAAAAATTTCCTGCCAGAACCGGCTAATAAACAAAGGGTCACGATCACTGATTATGGACTTCGGAATCCCGTGATGACGCACCACCTCTTTAACGAAAATCTCAGCAACAAGTTTGGCGGTGTACGGATGTTTGAGCAACACAAAATGGCTATATTTTGACAGCCTATCGACCACCACCAAAACAGCGTCGTACCCTTTGGATTTTGGTAGACCCAAAATAAAATCCATAGAAAGATGTTCCCAAATTGCTTCGGGAATGTCCAACGGCTGCAAAAGAYCACCAGGGGCTRTGGCACTCGTCTTGCAACGTTGACACGTATCACACTCTCGTACGAATTTCTTGACATCCTTTAACATTCCCGGCCAATAAAGATTTGCARCTAACCTTCGATAGGTACGATAGTACCCAGAATGCCCTCCCGACGCAGAGTTGTGAAACTCACGTAACAACGCAGGAATAAATTTGGAGGTACGAGCTATGGTCAAGCGGTTTTTGTAATACAAAACTCCCTGTCGAACCGTGTATCCGGGAGGAACATTAGAACCATCCAAACAAGCTTGGACCATAGATTGAATTCCGGCATCTGTTTTAGCTTCATCCACCATTTTAGCACCTTGCAACCATAAAGGTTCTGAAACAATAGTCAGCAACTCTCCTGAATCTGCCTTACGCGATAACGCATCAGCAGCGCGATTTTCCCGACCAGGCTTATAAAAAATTTCGAAGTTGTAACCGAGCAACTTAGCTACCCAATTTTGCTGGTCCGGAGTRGTGATCCGCTGCTGTAATAGGAACTTTAAACTTTTCTGATCGGTATAAACCACAAATGTGGTTCCCAACAAATATGAACGCCAATGTTGCACYGCTAAAACCAAGGCCATAATCTCCCTTTCATATGCTGATTTGGCCAGATTCCGTTCGCTTAATGCCTTACTATAATAGGCTATGGGTTTCCCTTGTTGCATCAAAACCGCTCCGATACCTCGTCCCGATGCATCACATTCCACAACAAAGGGAAGGGTGAAATCAGGTAATGCCAAAACTGGAGCCGAAACTAAAGCGTGTTTTAAGGCGTCGAACGCCTCTTGAGCTCCCGCATGCCAATTAAAGGCGTCTTTCTTTGTTAAATCAGTCAAAGGACGAGCGATACTCCCATAATGTTTCACAAATTTCCGGTAGTAACCGGTGAGACCAAGAAACCCTCGGAGCTCTTTAATTTGTTTTGGAACAGGCCACTCCATCACTGCTGCAAYTTTGTTTGGATCCATAGACACCCCCTCTCCAGAAATTATGTGACCCAGATATTCCACCGAGGTTTGACCGAAATAACACTTCTTTTGGTTCACTACGAACTGATTCTGCAATAAAACATTCAAGGCTAGTTGCAAATCCTCAAGATGAGCCTCCCAACTCGCACTATAAATCAGAATATCATCAAAAAATATGACTACTTTCCGTCGTAATAGGGGCCGAAAGATATCGTTCATAACGGCTTGGAAAGTAGAAGGAGCGTTCATGAGTCCAAATGGCATTACCAAATATTCATAATGCCCATYATGCGTACGAAACGCTGTTTTCTCAATGCTGTCAGCTTGCATTCGAATCTGATTATACCCCGATTTCAAATCCAACTTGGAAAAAAATCGAGCTCCATGTAATTCATCTAAGAGTTCCTCCACCATGGGAATAGGAAACTTGTCAGGAATCGTGGCTTTATTAAGAGCTCTATAATCTACGCACATTCGCCAAGTTTGATCTTTTTTTTCGAACCAAAATTACGGGACTAGAAAAAGCACTTTTACTTGGACGAATCATCCCCAAAGATAATAATTCCTGAACTTGTCTCTCAATCTCGGCTTTCTGAGCATGAGGATAACGGTATGRGCGCACACAAATGGGTTCATTRGGTTTCATAAGCACGATGCTATGATCATGAGAACGAGTAGGGGGAAGCTTAGACAAGGTTTGAAAGACACTACTACAGCTGTCCAAAACCTTCTGTAGGRAATTCTGTTGAGACAAAGATAACCCAACCGGTGTCCTAGCCATAAAAAAAGATTGAGAGAGTTTACCGGAGTGAACATGATCAGGACAAGATAACCATTGTTGAAAAGCAACGTGCTGTTGATGCGATGAAGTAGCCCCTTGAAGAGTGACCCACTCTCTGTTGTGCAGAAAACGCATCCAAGATTTCCGCCAATTGTGAGTGACCTCACCTAACGATTGCAACCATTCCATTCCCAACACCATATCTAGATCACCRGTGTCAAAAACTAAAGCATTAATAAGGAACGAGCAAGTACCCAATGAAACAGCGATATTGCAACACTGTTGAGTAGTTAAAACCTTGTAACCATCTCCCAGCTGAATGCGAACTCCRTCAAAGGAGGTGATAGGCAACCCCAACGAGTGAACCAATTTTCGAGAGACAAAGTTGTGAGTGGCGCCACTATCAACCAAAACCACCACCGGAATGTTAACAAGGATGCCTTCGAGCTTCAACGTTTTTCCCCCHGAGATCGAAGTATGAGCCCCAAAAAATTCTAACACCRAACAAGAACCCTGAGGAATATCAGTTAATTCAGGCCCTTCATCCGCCTGCAAACTCTCCAATCGGCACTGTGTGCCCTCGTCCTCATCGTACTCATCATCGCCCAAAATTAGAACACGTAACTTGCCCTCTGGACATTTGTGGCCYRGACCAAACTGCTGTCCACATCTGAAACACAGACCCTTTTTCCGTCTCTCCTCCCACTCCGTACGCGWAAGAGAACGAACACCTCGATCACGGTGAAAAGTGTGTGAAACATCGGATGGGCCCGATCCTGAATGGCGAGTAAGGTTAGAAGAACGATTGGGCTCAACACGAACAGGCCCAGTTCCAGATTTAGGTGAGATTAACCCACGAGAGTCATTACGATCCAACAAACGATCCAATGAAGACACACTCGCCGGTCCACCGTGCTGTTGGTAACGGAAACGAAACTGAGAAATTCCGCCTGACGACGGCCTTAGCATCTCCTCCACATCCTTGGCCAAATACATAGCATCCAATCGAGAGACCGGACGATGCAGACGAACCCATCGTTTKACCTCRTCACGGAGGCCAGCCACAAAATAACCCAACGCCTGAGATTCCGGTAAACGTGGAACCAGAGACAACAAATACTCAAAATCATCAATATAGTCATGAATCGATGAGGTCTGTTTAATGGTTGCTAATTGTTCATAAGGGTTCTGAATTTCTAACCCACTAAACCTCTGTAAAAGTTCTAATTGAAATTGCTCCCAAGTCAACGATTCATGAACTTGTTGAACAATTGTAAACCAGTGTTGAGCAACACCTCCCATACTTAATTGAGCCAACCGAATACGTAAAKGAGAAGGAGTACCGTTAATGTCGAAATACAACTTAGCTTTCTGGAGCCACCCTTGAGGATCRAACCCGTAAAACTCAGGTAGCTTGACCTTCTTCACCGCCCACGGCAGCCCAGCGTGAGTTGTAGGGGACGTATGATCACCATCCGCAAACCCAGCAGCCACCCCCGTATTGAAAAACGTGGTCGACGACTGATGTCCCAACCCGGATCCACCAMTCGAATCGAAATTAGGATGTTGTGTGCCCTGCTGTTTCATCCAATTCAACATGATCGTACGAAATTCCCCCGATTCGATYCGATCAGCCTCCAAAGCTTGGAGAGACAATTTGATATCAGCAACATCAGATTGAAGTCGCTGAATATGCTCCTCATGTTGCTCAATGCGATTTTGAACGGAACGAGTCTCCATGAAAATTGAAACAATTTACAGAGAAAAAAAAACAGTCGACGGCAGGTCGTCGGCAGGTCGGACCAGTGATGAAGAACAGAAAATAGAGTAATAAAGGCAGTAGATGAAATGGAGAAGGAATAGGGAATTTGTATTAATGGAGAAATAAGAACCAATGATTC